CGACTCTTAAAATATAACTCTGGCACATTTGAAACAAAAATTGAACTTCCTCGTGATACAGTCTCACGACAAGTCGAAAAGCTGGCTACGCTCCTGATATGATAAGACATTTTTCAGTCTGCATGCTGATCTATCCATTGAAGTTATTCCGTATTATCGATGGTAAAATAGCTGAGTAAATGTTTTGGTTACAAATGCCCCGCTTGTTTTAAAACTAATGTTTAAGCTCGTTTATATGGTAATTATTTAGCTTATTCGGAGTTTACCTTTAGTTTAAAAGAGATTTAATGTCTGCTTAATAGCTTTCTTTGAGCGTTATACGTCATTTTTTTTTCTCAAACCTGCGATCTGATAAAATGACATAGATCATAGTTGATCGAAACAAATGTTCAACACTTAAATTAAGTTTCTAAAGTTCAGTTTCAATGGTATCTCTAGTTTAAAAAACAGATCAACAAAAATAGAACCAACATTTAGAATTCTATGGGGGAATTACGTTCAGTCATCAACAAAAGCTAAGCGGCAGTATAACAATAATCTAATAGCTCATTTTAAGAAAAATTTGTTTTGACTCGTTTAAGAGCTTTGCACACTATAACTAAGTTTCAAACGAAAAAAAAACGGGATAGCCTCTAGAACATGACAAGAACAACTCAGACAGATGTAGGGTCAAGATAATCTCAAAACGTGACTCTAGAGTTTATAACTCATTTGCGAACATCATAGTCATTAGGTGTTACAGTGACGTCTGTCGTGGCTGAAGCCTATTTCTCCACATAGTTCGTCATTATTATTAATATTAACTGTAAAACCAAAAAAAAACAAAAGAAAAAGTAAAAAGGTCTTGAGATACCACTAAAATAGATATTTGGCAGCTTTTTTAAGACTAATTTTGTAGTTCTTTTCTAGATTTTTTTAAACTTATATCGAGAATTCTAATTCATTATAGTCTGTAGTATTCAAAATGTTTGATAAGTTTATTCAAACGTGATCATCAAATATGGCTATTACAATAATAATATCTTGGAAGCAAAGGAGGGAATGACACAGAGTTAAGAACAAGAGGTCATGATCCACTGTAAAACGAATGCTTCAAGTAAACATCTCAAAGACCTTACACATGAGTCCATTCTCAGTTTATTCCGTGAAGGTATCAAAGTCGCCCTTCAGCTTCATCCATAGTGTGTCACAATAGAGGGTACCCAGTCATTTTTTACATAAAGCGTGATTGGGTAATTTTTTTATTGTTATTATTCGTGAATCCTGATTGAGGAGCGGAGAGTAAATGGAAGAATATTGCTCCCTTAGAAACTAAGAAAAAAAAAATATGGGTAAAATTATCACACCCCTCAAAAGATACTAAGATTATCCTGTCAAAGCCTCCTGACGACCCCAGAAGCGAGACTAAACCCTTGTGGCGAGAGAATGTTTGCTGTGGCGGTACCAAGACTATGGATTTCGATCCCACTAGAACTAAAATCTAATTAGTTGTCAAATGATAACTACGTTTTTTTCTTTCTCAGTTCATGAGCTGGTGGTATTTTACAAACCCTGCAATCTGATTGGTTGCGAGAGCGAGTAGTATTCTTCCATCCGGCCTTTTCTCAGTGGGCGGTATCTGTTTCGTTAATTTTGAGCCGCTCAGCAGAACATCTCTAGCTTTCTTGGAGTTTCTCATAAATATATCATGTTTTACCGGCTGGTCACCATTTTTGAGCAAAGACTTCGGTCACGACCTTTTTCCGATGAATAACATTAATTCTCTCTCTTTTCTCTCTCCCTCTCTGAGATCACTCCGGTTTTTCCGCAAAAATTGATTCGAAATTAATTTTGTTGTACTAAGTTTGTTTATAAAAAGATTGAAACGCGGCCTAAAATTCAATAATGCTCAAATAGTAACTCAAAAGTTAAAACTAGAGGTATTAGCAGTTAACAATCACATTTTGACTCTCAATCATTTAATATCTGTACTCTCCAAAACGAGTCGTTCGTTTGCGAAACGTTAGGTGAAGTCTTAAGATCTTCTTTAAATGCACTTCGCTTATTCTTTACAAGTCTCTTGAATTTAGACATTTCTATCGTAAATTTAACAACAGAAACCGACGGAATTCGATGACTAAAACTCGCATTTAATCCCCATGTGTCTAGCGTCTCTTTTGACGTCAGTTTTTTCGGTGTAAGAAAGAATACACGCCATTGCGGAAAACAGACGAGTGGACTCTCAGAACTCCATAACGCACATTTGCATTCATTCACAATTTGACTTTCTGTGACACTTAAACAGACCAGTAATAATTCTTCGAAGATTAATAGATCTCTGAGTATCTTTTAAGAGAAGGTCGTCGCTATGGTCTTTAATAACTCGTGTGTGATTGTCGTGCCAGTACTGTTGTTTATTCAAAAGTATGCGTGGTTATTTTTTCCTCTCGATCTGACAGCTGTCAGATCGTGACAGATACTTATCAAAAATGTTTCAAAGATAACTTGAAAGTCCTTCAAA